CTCAAACAAAAATATAAAATAGATTTTTTTTTCACACTTTAGATGAAGCAATAAATGCCTTGGAAACCAGATATAATTGGCTAAATACAGTAATTATTTCAGCTTTTCGTATAATATTTTTGGTCTAAAAGACATGCCCAGAAATAAGCTACGGGCTCATTGCAAAGATTTGTAAGTAGTTTTAACTGATGGAAATTCAAGCGATCTTAACGCCCTGGAACTAACCGATGAAATAAGCATTGTTTCGTCATTATTAACAAAAAAGGAAACCCCTGTTGAAGTTCTCAAGTTTATCGCTACACTTAAATTCGCATATCATTAAGAATCTTACTTACGTTGTGGCTTCAGGGGAAAGAAGCTTTTCAAAACTAAAAATAATAAAAAAATTATCTCAGAATGATGCAGACGCAAAATCGTCTCAAATTGACTGGCAATGATAGGTATAGAACACCAAATTAGTGACAAATTAGACATGAAATCACTGGTTCGTGAGTTTGCCGAAAGAAAAGTTAGAAAAAGGGCATTTTAATTGAATGTGTTATTTTAGGAAGGTCAGTTGTCCAATATAGCGAAAAATATTTTTATTGAAAAATCCATCAAATGTAATTATCTTTACATGTTGATAGTAGAAACGGCACATATTCAGGCATCTACGACGTTTTTTTATTCACTCTAAAAGATGTGGCCTTCGACAGTTTTATTTAAGAAACGTCGGTTGTCCGGGACATATGACCTTACGCGTCAAAAGTGCCCCCACTTTGATAAGAACAAACGGTTAGAAGGTGGCAACGATAGAAGGAGATGGGACAATGTTGATAGTTTGTTTTTTATCTATTTCGTTGATTTCTTAGTAGACAACAGGTTGTTGAGTTGTAAACGTGCTTTAAATAATATTCATTCGGTTCATTCAATTAATGATCCAGAAAATCAACAAAAAAAAAAGAAAAAAAGGAGTGAGAAATGCGAACAGTTACAAATGGGTAAGAATCAAGAAAGCTAGACTGGAAGGTGCTTCGTATGTAAACAGTATTGGTAACGAAGTTCCAGCTCGCCAGTATGGAGGTGATTGCAGGTAATATACGATTTATTTTGTTCTCTAGTTATAATAGAAAAAACTAATAATCTTGTTAAAATTTAATATAAACCTGTGGAATCTAATCACTTATTAGTTTTTTCTATTTGTTCCAGATGTCGTTGGAAATGCACTGAAAAATTCACAGATGATCAAAAGACATCTCTCATCGAAAATTTCTCCAAACTATCGAGTAAAGATGCTCAGGATGTCTACCTGCAAAGCAGAGTCAAATTGGAGCCTGTGAAGCGCCAGAGATCAAGAAAAAATGTGTTTGTTCGGTCAGCTCTATTCCTCTATTATGTAAACAAGAAAGTTTTACTCCAAAATGAAATCTATGGAATCTCTGGGTAGGGATGACACTGCAGGGATATCTATGGATTTTATGCAAAATCTTCCCCTTCCTCACATCCCCGTACAAGAGGTGTTCTATTATCGGCAACTCTGGGTTAACGTCTTTAATATTCATAATATCAGCGCTGGTAACTTAATGTATTACATTTATCATGAAGGCGAAGCCAAAAAAGGTCCAGACGAAGTATGTACAATGCTTAATATGTATGTTCAAAACGAGCTACCTCCCCAAGTGCGACACCTTCATCTTTTCTCCGATGCATGTGGTGGTCAGAATCGGAACCACACTTTACTGAGATTCTTGTGTGCATTGGTTCAAACAAAGAGGTTTGAGACTATCAACTACTACACGCCCATCCGTGGTCATTCTTTCATGCCAAACGACAGAAATTTTGGCATCCTGAAGAGACGAATAAAACGGCTTGATAGAGTATACGTTCCCAAGCAATACGTTAAACAAATCGCAAATGCAACCAAGACACCAAAAAAGGCTATGGTAACAATGGTTTCCACAGAGGATATTAAATATTATAAACAATGGTGGCCACTGCATTACAGGAAGAAAACACTATCAGATGAAACAAAAGGGAGACATGTTCCTAAGTAAAACAAAGTTTCATTTTTAATCTCGAAGTATCACCATTTTCGTATGTCTGCTGGTGCCTCAGGAGTAATAAAATGTTGGGGCTTTATCGATGGTCTTGACAATCACACTTTCAGTCTAGGGAAGCATGGAGCTGTTGATTTGCCGAATGAGCCAGCTTATAATGGCAAGGTGCCACTTAATGTGGAAAAAAACGGGACATCGAGAAATTGATCAAGTATATACCTTCCCAATACCTAGATTTTTACGAGGATCTACGCAGCTGGCCTACTACCACTGAAGAAGATGAAAGTTAATGATTATACTCTTGAGTTCAACATATAAAATACATGTTTAAAGTAATTTGCACATTTTATTTTTGAAATCCTTCATGTTTATTGTAGAAACGTCATTTGTCCAAAAAAAATTATGGGCAACCCTGTAGTCATATAAAAATGTTTTTCTATTCCAAGCTTACTAAAACATTTCTAAAAAAAATATATGTATGCATCTGATATGTTTTGAAATTTTTCTTTAAGCTTTTTTGGAAATGATACTGTTTTTTTGAAATTACCAAAACTAGTGTTTTGTAACAAATGACTTTCCTAAAATAACACATTCAATTACTTTGGTTAGTTAGTATATATAATATGGGATATTAGTTTAGTTAGCATTACTACATATTAATTTTTGTTATTTGCCTTAAGTGCTAAATTGCTTATCTTGTTATCTGATGATTGAGTTTTTAATAAAACGTTTTTTTTTATTTTTTTTTTTCAATGTTTTCTTGACTCTCTGATATGGTCACATGAGATTTATTTTAAAAAAACCGAGGGGGGTCGCGAAATTGAGGTTTTGCCCGGAGTGAAAAAATGTCTAGGGCCGGCCCTGTTCATGGAAGAAAGATGATATGATTAAGTGGCTAACAGTCAGAAACATTAACTTTCCAAAAAATCAATAAAAATTAAACTACTAGAAATTGTGAAATTAAATAAGCTGCCAGTACGTTATGTAGTGGATGAACTTGGAAAAATACTTGGTATTGATGTTGTGCGTGTTCCTCTCTATCACTGCATACTAAATCCTATTGAACCGATATGGGCATAAATACAGTCACCAAAGTACATTGTAAACGAAAATCTCTTCCGATCCCTCAAACAGGGTGAAATTACCACTTAAATTTTAAAATAAATAATTACCCTATGAAGACGATTAACTCCCAACTTGATTTTAAAAACACCAGTTGGTATCTGATCATCTGATCTCCTTCGTTGGGTTATTATTTATTTTGAAGTTTAAGGGTTAATTATACCCTGTTTGACAGGTCGGGATTTTCGCTAACAGTGTTCTTTGGTGAGTGTATTTATGATTTTTTAAATAAAAAATCAAGTTGGGATTTATTCGTCTTCAAAGGGTTATTATTTATTTTAAAGTTTAAGGGTTAATTTCACCCTGTTTGACGGGTTGGAAGAGATTTTCGCTTAAAGTGTACTTTGATGAGCATATTTATGTTTTTTTAATGTGAAACCAAGTTGGGATCTGATCGACTTTATTGGATAATTATTTATTTTGAAGTTTAAGTGTTGATTTCACCCTGTTTGACGGATCGGAAGGGATTTTCGCTTACAGTGTACTTTGATGAGTGTATTTATGATTTTTTAATTTTAAAATCAAGTTAGGATTTAATCGTCTTTATAGGGTAATTATTTAATTTGAAGTTTAAGGATTAATTTCACTTTATTTAACGGGTCCTAAGGGATTTTAGTTTACAGGATACTTTAGTGAAGGTATTTATGATTTTTTAAATGTAAAATCAAGTTGGAATCTAATCGTTTTCATTGGGTAATTATTTATTTTGAAGTTAAAGGGATAATTTCACCTTGTTTTACTAGTCTGAAGGGATTTTAGTTTATAATGTACTTTTCTGAATGTATTTAAGAATTTTTGAATGCAAAAGCAAGTATGAATTTAATCGGCTTTATAAGATAATTATTTTTTGGGGTTTTTAAGGGTTAATTTCGCCCTCATCGACAAATCTAACGTGATTTTCGATAACAGTGTGTTATATTAAATTTATTTGTCTAATTGTGAGAGAAAGTTAGGTCCTAAGGGATTTTCACTTCATGTTTATATGTTTACCTATAGCGTATTTAGGATTTTTTAAATGTAAAATTAAATTGGGATCTAATTTTCTTCCTTCATAGGATAAATATTTTTATCAATTTCAAGGGTAATTTTCAACGGTATGTATATCAATTATTTGTCCGATAATAATGTAAAATGCATATTGACAATATTATTAAAATAGTTATATGCCGGACGCCACTATTTTCCTGATCGGGTGTTTTCGGTTATTTTTACTCCTAAAAGTTACTGCTAACTTCACACCGGTAGAAAATGTTGAGTCTGCCTATTTGGTTATTTAAAAATCTAGCTTTTTTATTGGTCAAGTTTTCAGTTTTATAATGAAAACCAGTGTTATAATGAGTACCTATCAGTATGGAACTGAAAATTACCCTTTAATTAACAATTTATAGTATAGGAGTAGAAAAAGGCAATAACGGTTGCATAGATAAATAATTTTATTATAAATGCTTCAAGCTACCAAAAGCCTATATTAATTAATATTTTATTTTAAAAAATATTTGAAGTAACTTCTTGTGTAAAGTCAGATAAATTTTATAGAATTCTACGAATAGAATTTTACAACAGTTTTTTTCCAAATATTCCTTTCATAAACATGTTTGATTGGAAGTAAAAAAAAAATAATGATTACTCATTGTTTACTAAACACAATTTTATAAACAATTTAGTCAAAATAGAAAAAAATCTTGTGTGCAATGGTTCCATAAATAGCTAAACAAGACAGACTTTTACAAAACTGGTTAAAATAATAATTATGTAGGTATTTTATTATAACTGAATATTTATGTAAATTTATATAAATTTTTTAAAATTAAACAAAAAATAAATATATTTTTTCGTACTTACTATATTTTGATTAACCACTGGATTATCGTAACAATTTTTTCCAATGAAGTTCAACAAATTATAATCCTGTATCTTGAAACAAACTTTAATAGCTGTCACTATAATAATCGGCAGGAGACTTAAAACGTAAACGGTTTTAATCACTTTACTCTGATGCATATTTACTGGATTATTATCTGGTTCAAACTAAAGCATCATGGCATCACTCAATACATCCCATATAGTTAGTTACTTGTTTTACTTGTTTAACGACAATCAATTAAATATTTTCATGGTGAGACCGATTCCGTGGGTACTGCAAAAAAATAGATGGTATATTAATTATATGTGCGTGAAAATTGTATGTCGAATATAATTTTGATAACGAGTTATTGTTAGCGTGATTTTTGAATTAAAAAAATTACATTTTCTGTATTTATTTAAAAATTTTAATAAAACTTGGTATGAATATATACATACAGGGTGTCCCAATAGTGTGTGGAAGTTCGATATAATATAATAATAATAAAGCTTATTCAGATAAATAATTACAATATAATAATACATCATTTAACTTATTAGTAAACAAAAGAAAGAAAGAAACCCGCAAAGGTAAGCCTGTGCGCGGGCGATATTTTCCTCGTTTAGAGTATTAAATGAAATTAAATTAACCAAATTAAAATATTTACAAATAACATTAAAAATGTGTTAAAATTAACAATATATACATGCTTATTAAATTTGAACAAACTAGTAAAATAATAAACTTACTTAATTAAAAATGTTGTACAAAATAAACAGTGAATTAAAATAAACAAATTAGAAATTAGGATGAACATTAGTTGCGCTTACAGATAAAAATTCAAAACTTAAATATTTGTATATATAAATAATATTTTTATAACTTTTTTTATATTTATAAATATTTATAATACACTGCTACTGTTTGAAAAAAAACGTTTTAAGGAATTTTCGGGAATGATAAGTATCCATTTTTTTATTTTATTTTCAAAATGATTAAAAGAATTAATTTTTTTTATTTCAGCTGGTAAGTGATTATACAATTTCGGACCAAGATAGATATGTGATTTTTGCCCTAGTGTTTTATACATTCTTGGAATTTCAGAAAAAATATTTTTATTTCTCGTATTATAGGTATGTTCGATTGCTTTAAGGTTGTCCCTATCTTTATATTGGTGGAGTAATAAAATTTTGGTGAAAAGCTGATGTATATTTAAAATATTTGATTGACTATAGCAGTGGTCGCCAACCTGTCGATCGCGAGCTACCAGATTTTAATTTAAAAAATACAAACTGCAAAAATCAGAGAAGCTTCCGAAAATTCCACAAAAAAATCTAATTGTCATAATATTAAACATTAACAGCGGCAACGTTGCGGTGAGCGATCTGCCGTTGACGCCATCAAACTAGAATCGGCTAGAACCGACCAGCCGGACCAGCGCGTTAGTGTTCGAGAACGATCAGGATTGCTTTGAACGGGATAAATACGCACGGCGTGGCAACATTGCGCTTAGTTTAAGACTGAACGCGTAACCAACGTCCAACAGTTGGGTTAATAGAGAACAACAAAAAATATTATTATGGCAAGCAGTTGTAAGAAGGTAAAGACATACCACTTTCATTCGGAATGGGTTTTTTACAGAAGTTAAAGATAAAAATGTGTGTTTCTTATGTAATACTTCGGTCTCCGTTGCTAAAAAAGGAAATATTGAGAGACATAATAAAACTGGACAATCTAATTTTGAAAAATCATTCCCACTACATTCTGCCGCCAGAAAGGAGAAACTGAAACAGTTAAAAAAGCAGTTATTTGGACAACAATATTTTTAAGAACAGTCGACAAAAATAAGGCTGCAACTGAAGCATCGTACCGTGTGTCCCAGATAAAAAAAAGAGTTGTTTTCTAATTTAAAAAATATTATTTCTTCTGAGAAAATTCCAATATCGAAAAAGGTAGGCTTGACAACCGATGGCGCTCCAGCTATGGTGGGTTGTGATAAGGGTCTGAAGATGAAACTTTTCCGCAATTTCTCTGTTACCACTGCATTATCCATCAGCAAGCATTATGTGGAAATTTCCTGAAACTAAATAACGTTATGAAACTGGTGGTAAAAATTGTGAACAAGATTAGAGCTCAAGCGTTACAAAGAAGATTATTCAAAATCTTGGCCGATGAAGTTGACTGTCAATACGGGGACCTACTCCTTCACTCTGAAGTCCGATGGTTAAGTAGAGGACAGGTGCTGAAACGTTTTAATGATGTCCTATCTGGCATAGTTCAATTTTTCAAACAACGCGATGAACCGACTCCGGAACTAGAAAATTCAATCTGGCTTAGAGATTTTGGTTTTCTCGTGGACATTACAGAGAAATTAAACGAACTTAATTTGCAGCTTCAGGGGAGAGACAAAGAACTAGCGGAAATGATTTCTGATATAAAAGCATTTATCAAAAAGCTGAAGTTTTGGAAACAAAACCTAATTAACAGCGATGCCAAGCATTTTCCTATTCTTTGAGAAAAAATATTTCAAAATCCATTTGAACCCTATGACAGCAAATATCATGTAGAAATAGTTTCTACCCTGAAGAATAACTTCAAAAATCGTTTTAAGGATTTCAACGAAATGGCTTTAGTAGCGCAGTTTGTTATTTCACCCTTTATAGAAATTGATATCCAACAGTTTGCAACTTGTGTTATGCAGAACTTTGGCGAAGACATCGCTGCAACAGAAATGGAAGTAATTGAGTTTCAAAATGATTTAGCCTTAAAATCGTTAGTCTCAAGTACCAAATGTATCTGGCCTATTGTAAGTAAAGACAAATATTCAGTTCTATGCCGTGTTGCCTTGAAAGTGAAAGCATTATTCAGTTCAACTTATTTGTGTGAATCTTCTTTTTCCAATATGAAGTTTATTAAGAACAAATATCGCAATCGACTTACAGATGAACATTTGGATAATTGTATTCGAATGGCTGTATCAAATTATACTGCAAACATTAAAAAAATTATGGATGAGTCTGAGTGTCAGCCTTCTCATTGAACGTGCTTTTTTCTTTTTCAATGTATATGTTCATGATAGTGCGTTACTTTTTTGTTCTTATTATTAACTATTTTTAAATCTTACGTGACATGCCGTTGTGGCTGGATAAAAGTTTGTGTTTATTTTTCAAACACCTTCGTTTGGTAGGTAGGAATGTAGCTATGAACAAGTACGTACTAGTAATATTAGTTATTTTGTTATTAGTTTATTATTAGTACCTATGTATTATGTATTACCGGTTAAATAGTAAAATAAATATATATATAATGATAAATTAACTGTGGATTATTTCATTTACGTTGCGTTACGTGGCTTCCGTGTGGGTAGCTCGCTGTTTATTCCAAAATTAACAAAGCTCAACACATTGAGAGATTGGCGACCACTGGACTATAGATATGTTTTGAAGGAAAACGATGTAACAATTTATAGATAATTTTTATAACCCTTTTTTGAGTTGTGATAAGTCTTTCTAAATAAGTTATACCAGCACTACCCCATGCTAATATCCCGCTAAGTGCGATTCTATTAAGGCAAAATAGATCATACGGAGATATTCAGATTTTAGAATATTACTCAGATATTTTATTTTTGGCATCATCATTCTTATTTTTTTTTATGACGTAATTAATGTGATGTTGCCATCTGAGATAGGAATCTATGTAAATACCTAAATATTTGATATTTTCAGTATTTATTATGCTTGGTCTTGACCTATATTAAAAGTTATTTGATTAAAAGGGGGTAGTGTTTTATCATATGAAGTAAACGGAATATATTTAGTTTTATTGAAATTTATTGTAAATAATTTGGAGTTAAAAAATGCTATTAAATGACTAAAGTCTTCTTCAGTCATTTTTCGTAAGAAATTCCAGTTGTCATTTGTAAAAAATATAGCTGTATCGTCCGCAAAACTTATTATTTCACCTCTACATCTCTGCTTAAATAGATCATTAACATATAAATTAAAGAGCAGTGGTCCCAACACTGTTCCCTGAGGAACTCCATATGTAACAGTTTCATATTTGCTCGTAGTGTCGTTTATTTTTACACACTGTTTTCTCTTATTTAGGTAACTTTCCATTAGCTTATATGTAGTTCCTCTAAAACCGCAATCCTCTAATATAGATAGTAGTTTTTGTGATCCACAGTATCAAATGCCTTTGCCCCATATCAACAAAAATACATATTGCTGGTTTAGATATATCAACAGAATTATTTATTAATTTAGTTGAATTGGCAATGGCATCTGAAGCATAGAAATAGTTCTGAAGTAGATTTGTTAACTTGAAACCCAAATTGTTTAGCAGACAATATATTGTATTTTTATAAAAAATTGAACATTCTTGAGTAAATAATTTTTTCGAAAGTTTTAGAAAAGGTTGAGATAATCGATATAGGTCTATAATTATTTATATCTGCCAGACTTCCACTTTTATGAAGTGGTATTATCATAGCATCTTTAAGAATGTTTGGAAATATCCCCTCATTTAACATTTTATTGGCTATATAAGCTAATACTGATGCAATATATCCTATATTATAGAAAATATCAAACAATGTTATTTACAAAAGTTGTAGATTATATTAATCTGCACATTTCAAAATTATTTTCGATTATACAGAGTGATCCATAACTTCAGAATTGATCTAACCTGTTTTTTTAAATGGACCATCACCCTGTATTTAATTGTAAATTTGAATTCCCCTGACTTTGTCCTTCAAAAAAATATCAACATGTATGAGGTTATACGGGGTATTTTGGAAATTTAAACCAATTTTATATGAAAATCATACTAGGTTCAACCCTCTGTATATTTCAAAAGAAACATTTAACCATCAAAATTTTTTAACGATAGTCTACTTTTATAAAAATATACTAATTTTTTCCTAGCGCAACAGACGTGTACAGGGTGAGTCAAAACTCAGATACATAATTTTCTCAATTTTTTTTAAATGTAACACCCTGTATTTCATATCACTACTAAAAAGTACTCTAATTATACGTTCGTTTGAGTTAAATAATATTGCCTATCCCTAAACACAACAGTTTGGCGAAATTCTTAGATGAAATGTTAAAGAGGGTTAATTATAACTAAATTCACAATGTAATTTGATTTAAACTCCTGTTAAAATATACTGTTTAATCAGTTTATATTTTTAAGGTACCTAGCTACAATTTATTATTAACTGAATTTACTTTCTTTACTGTTAAGGTTAAGTTCACCCTGTATTTCATATCTCTACTAAAAGTACT